ATCGCACAGAATCATTACCCCAAAGAATCCTTTGGAGATCGAAAAGAACCTTACTTTGCCTTCCAAAGGCCATATTTTCAGTCGATTATTTTATTTACCACATAGTCAAATAACGGGTTACTTTTGACCTATTTTTAATCTTGTAAGATGAAGGTCGGATAAATTAAACTAGATTGTGTAAATAAACAATCAAGAATAGCTCAAATTGCTGTCAACATATGCACTGATGTTGTTTTTCAAGATTTGGTACTTTTTATCGGTCCAAGTGTTGTCAATTCGTGGCGCGACACTCCAAGATTCGTCTGAATTTTTGAGCTTCAAAAGCGGCATTTTGGCGAAATTCAGTTGTTATCGATTTTTTCGAAATTAAATCGATATTCAGCCAAACGAAGTATTCAGTGTTTTGTATCAGTATAAGGCCTACCCAACTGGTGAATATGAGCCGAATCGAGTTTTTGGCTGTTGCCACCAAATGTTTGACCGTTGGTAACATTCACCCTTAAGGCCTGGAGATGAGAGTGAGTTTACTCCACCGGTGGAGTGGTCGATGGTCCAGGATTAAAGTACCCTAATTGCAGTCACGCAACTTTGAATTCCAGTCACGTAATCTAAGGGGTCCGACTTTACTGTAGTATCGTGAAGGAATCAGGATAAATTGGTTTCATCATTGCAGTCCTGAATCTACCTCCAGCATTTCAAAATGGCTCCCATTATAGTACCAGGTATTATTGGCAAAAGCGGTAATTCATACCCAGAGTGTATACTTTAATGTGACTTGCACAGTTTGTTTTCATCACTGAGTTGCAAATACTAGTCGTAATATCTGTAGCACTTGGTAGAAAATTTGGTTCGACCCCGAATTTGAAGAATCATTCAAAAGGTATCCGACAGAGTCAATTCAGTTTTGTGATTTTCGCTAGTTGATGACAAAGAAATCAGAATACAGGAAAGAAATTGAAACTAAAGAACAAAGGCTTGATTTTTATTTCGGTTGTCGTCTTTCTTCTGTCGCCCTGCACCCTAACTAAATCAACGTTTTACGAACTTTGCGTGTTCTTTCTTTTTTTCTGACACTTATGATACTTTCAATATCACATCAGATAATTTCCAGACTTATATTTTATTGCGTTTAATGTTTATTGGCAGGACGAGAGCAAGGCAAAAAGTGGAGAATGTTCGGTTCTAAGAGAGGAAGTTCTGTACAAAGCAAACGTGTAACTCGAAGCGAGTTAAACGAGAAAGGTAACAGTCACACAACACTCCGTTACATGCCAGGATTAGCCAAAAAGTACTATAGCCTGCGGCCAAGAAAATCTGCACAAGGTCAGTTTTGACGTACAACGATCTCCAAAACATAAGTAGAGGTCTAATTAGGTACTTATTTATAGTTTTGCAACTATTTGATAAAAAGGTTTAAGGCCATTATGATCGCTGGTGGTGAATTTCTGAGGGTTTAAATTGAGGAAATGAAACGGGGACGCCTCGAAGGTGTTGGTAACGAGTTCTGAGGCACATCATCACGTGATGTCAAGGGTTTGAACGAATTTTCCTTTCGAAGTTAAACAAAAACGACTGCATTTTGCACAGGTTAGAACAAAATGAGCTCATTAGGTTTGGTGCCAGACAATTTCAAAATTCTCATAAAAGTGTAGTATCGATGTAGTACTCACTTCCTTAAGCTGAAATATGCTAATATAGATTCAAAGACTGAACGAGTCGGTAGGAGGTTCGCCAGCTATTGTCACACGTGGCTTATATTGCCCAACGACTGCATCCTTTTGTTTTCCCTCAGCGAACTCAAAACAGCTCCGGGGCATATGTCGCCTATGCTAAATTTATCGAGCGTGTCATGAAATTAGAAACTTGTATTGAACGCGTTCAGTTTGATGCAAAAGCGCAATATCACAAACCTTACCCCGTGTTTACCAGCGTTGTGAGCTCATTTTGCAACTGGAGGTTTGCGGGGGCGCCTGTACGCCCTTGCTATTTTACTTGAAGTGTCTGCGCCTGTGTTGGCCAACTAAGGTTTTTGACTTCCAAAGGACTAATTAGTTGGTAAGTACAGACTTATACCTCAGTGGTTTCGATGGAGGGACCGTAAGACGGGAAACTTTTTACTGGAGCTAATGCGTTCCGAAAAGTTCCACAAATGCAACTGTTATTACTTCCAATACAATTGTTTCTCATGTCGCTCCTATACAGTGTGAGTTCCCTCCAACCGCTGGTCGACGGGTTTATTCAGTAAAAGCGGTGCAACTCACGTAAATTCTGTGGGCGGAGTTGTAGTTCTTCAGTTAAAAGAAAAAAGGAAACGAAGCACTGATTGATATTAGAGCAAAACTATTCATTTATTTTATCCGTTTTATGATTAAGTTGCCCGTATCAGAACTAGCTCGCTGTGGTGAACTTTTTCTGTGCTAGCAAGAATTTTCGCTGAAGCGGCACAAAGTTTACTTCAAGTGCAGTACACACCTCGCGTTCAAAAAAGATTTGCTTTCTCTTTTTCAAATGAAATTGCGTGCTATGGTATGGCTATGATCTTGCAGTTAACCCTTTTATTGTGTATTGAGGTTAAGTAAATTTCTCTTATAAAAATATCGCAAAAGCTTGGCACACCACAAGATTCAATAACCCAGCGTGTAAACAGCACAGTTAAGATTCCGTTGACATTGCGTGAGGAAATGGTAAGGAAACTTCCGTGCTCGGCACTCAAGATTGTGTTCCTTGCTAAAAATTTTCATTGTAAACAACGGTGTTCTTTCAAGTCTGTTCTACGTCATTCTTTAAGTACTGGTTCAACTCTTCAATGACTTAACTAGATATTGTCATCTCTCATCTGGCATATCATATCTAATATGTGAATATATTCAATTGTGCTTGTTAGCCCGATTGCATGAATCGTGTAAATCGTTAACCTTATCTTCCAGCCAGGAAGAAGTCTTTTTTCATGTTATCCTACACACTGTCGGGAAAAAGTTGGAGTTATATCATAATGATTCTGTCAGACCTAAAAAAAGGCCAGTCAAACTTCTGTAAGTTCTCACATTAAAGCTCAAGGTTCTACAAAAAAAAATTCACCGCCGGGCCGGATGAGAATTACCGGATTTTATCGTTCCTATTACGAAAGAAGAAAGTTTAAACAGTACAAGAGGGGTTTTCTCTAGGTTGAGACCACAACTATTTTAGTTAACTTTTATGAGGCATTTTAAGTAATACTTTTTATGTAGAGACTCTTAAAAATTTCCCACGACCACAGATGTTGTTTAAAAATGACCCGTTGATTGCTGTTTAAAAGAATCTAACCTCTGTGACCTGTTTCAATAATCTATATTCTGCAGAGCTCGGACATTTTACGAGTCCTTCAAACATGGGTGTGTTACGGGACCAACTGGAGCAGTATTTGACCAGAATGGAGGAAGAGCTTGACAAGACTATCACTTTCTGGCTGGAAAAATCTGGCGACAAACGAAACGGGTGGGAAAGTCAAGCATAAAGATTGAGTTAATTTTATGAGTCATGGATGATTTACCAACTAAGACGAAATACCACAAGGACCGCCGCCTATGATTAATTGTATTACAACAAATTATTTCATGTGTTGATCCTATCGCTACAGATAATTACGTTTTTTCGAGTACAGTAGTGATTCGTTTCTCAGTTTAAGATCAGCTTACATACTCGGGGCTACTTAACCACGATTTTGAAGAGATACTTCGAGCGAGGGGTAACGTCATCATATTTGAGGTTTTTTCGTGACGTAGAAGACTTAAATTAACTTAAATGAGACCACTAAATATGAGTTATGCAGCCTAAAAATACATAAAGAAAGCAATAACAACGGAAAAGAGTGACTAAGGATGAAGAAGATTGGAAAGGATTATGAAGGACGACCTCGCCAAGTTTAGCTTAAATTTTCCGAAACGGACAAGCCTTACAATTGACTCTTTAACAGCCATTTGAAAATCTCATGATTTAACACTTGAGCTGATCCACCGGAACTTAGGTACCGATTAGGAATTAAATGTAATGAACGCACCAAATTTAACTTTTCGTTGTTAAGTAGAGTAAATAGTATTGATTAAATATTGTTCCTGCTTAAAATTCCATTCATGAGTTTACATCGAGCATGACGTTGAAGTGCAATATTGACAACAGTGCAGAGCCAAAATACTGTGCGAGGATATTAAACTTACAACTAATTTAAACTTGAAAAGAATTACAATTATGCACTAATGAGGCTACAGTTGACTTACCCAAGTCTAAACACCTATGATCATTTAGGCTTACATTTCGAGGTTACCATAGAAACAAAGGATGTCGTTACTATGGTAAGGGAGCTACGTCCCACACTCCTTTGGTCACGTGAATTTTTCTGTTCATATTCCACCATCTAGTGTAGAAGAGTCCTACACTGCGAAAAATTATGGTTTCTCTCGTTAAAAGTACACAGAATACATCATCGTTAAATTGAGAACTTTTGAAATCGTTTTTTCCCTTTCTTTTTGTCTATATGTGAACTGTGAACTCTATCAGAGCAAACCAAAATGTCTGGGGCAATTGCTAAAGCCTTACTTTTTTTTCTCTTGTGTTGTTACATCTGTTTTAATGCTTTGAAACTATTCTCCTCCAGTAATCGCAAAGACTTGTGTGTTTTTCCCCGTTTACGTTGTCTCGACTTTACTAATACCCCCTTCAAAGATACCAAAGACATGGCAAACTATGGATTCGACTCAATTAGCTATTAATGTGGGAATAAATTCTGTTTATCCTTAATTTAGAAACACTCGAAATAAACTGTAACCCTTTTCACTGTTTTGCGATTGTAGCGGTTACTACGTATGTCTTGCTAGAGATGGAAAAGTTTACGATGACTCCAAGTACGGCTGGCTTGAAGGCAGGCAGGTTAGTCTCGCCGTGCGATTGAAAATCTGATAGTATCTTATTTTTATTATTATCATCAAATGATTATAGCAACTTCAAAATCCAGCCAATCACAAAAAAAGAAAATACATGCTAATCGATTGACCAATCAGAGGTCGAAGAAGCATAGCAAACTAAGCGCGGGAAAACAGGTGATAACCAACTCAAAACTGGTACAGGCGCTGCCGTGATTTAATTAGCTAAAAAGCAAAGAAGCGAAGTAATCCTTGATTAACAAAACACTTCATTTGTGAAAGCTAAAGAACTCAAACAAGGCAGGGATATCTGTCTTTTTCGCTAGTTTTGAAAGTGTATCAGGCATTCAGTAAGGTGCTCTGTTCACAAGAACCTGATACAAATCAGTTTACCCAAAACTTGATCAGTACAAAACTCTCCACAGCTTCTTAAGTTAAAACTCAACGTAGGACTCAAATTAGGGGACTTTGATCTCTGAAGTGCTTAACAACTGAAGAGCGCACAGTTCTCCATACAACTGCCTCTGTGATACTTTTAAAACATATTACAACAACACTTAGTAATTCGTAAGTTCAAACTTATCAAGAGAGTTAAACAGAACTGAAAGAATAGAAACTAGTAGTTGCTTGCTTTGAGAATACGAGCCATAACTCAGCTTTAATTACCACAAATAAATATAAGATGCAAGATAGTTGTTCCCGACTTTCTTTTCTCGATGTCATTTATTTATTTAGTCTTTTTCATTGTAGGTATGGATGTACTCTAAACTTTACAACGAGTCTTGGAAATATGGCAAGGCGAAGATCCTTAAAGCTGCACTATCAGGTAACGAAAAGAGAGGAGAAAGTAGCGATAAACAGATTTGACTTTTTACTAACCACTTTCTCATTCAAATTTGCATAGAAAAGTAATTCAAAGCTGTGGAATGCTATAAAAGTTATTCTTAATGAGTTCCAATACTTTCTAGTTTGGAGTGTTGCCCATGGTGAACAATTTTCATAATTATGTCATAAGTATCGGGAAACTTGAAAAAAGGAAAAGGGGTGTGGCTAAGTGGGTCCTAGGCTGCCTGTGGCCACCTATGTGTCGAGGTAAAGCGGTAATTTACCATAGTCGTTGAGTACCCGGCATACGCGCAAATTCCATCGAAACGCTACTATTTAAACAATAGAGTGTTTCTGTCGAGGAACTATCGGCTGATAGTTGCCCCGCGGAAATTTGATATTCTTAAAACAAATATTTGCCCAAGAAGCGAAGCTTCGAGGGCAAATATGCTAGTTTTAAGAACATCAAATTTCCAAGGGACAACTATCAGACCGATAGTTCCGAGACATTAACACTCTATTGTCTTTATTGTTCACCACTAAATTTTCTTCCGCGCGCCAGTTGAAAAACAATCGAAACCCACTAAATGCAGATCAATCAAATATTCTTCCGCGCCTACAGCTTGTCACAAATGTCAATAATTCGCAACCGTACATTGGCTAAATAATACGTTATACCTGTCAGAATTGAAAAGTCACTGTTTTTCCGATCTGCCTAACTTCGCGGCCGTCAAACTATTCAAAACTTTTCACGGATGAGTACTATCAATCCAGGTATTTTCCGTGGACGGACAGTATCCATCCGGGTATTTTCCGCGGATGGGCAGTATCCATCCGGGTATTTTCCGCGGATGGGCACTATCCATCCGGGTATTTTCCGCGGGCGGGCATCATGGGCTGATAGAACCAATAAGATACGGAGAAAATTTAGTGGTGAACTATAAGAATAAATATGTACTTTCTATAATTTCAGGTGGTGAATTTTTGTTAAAACACATCAAAAACCCTGAAGATGGGAGATGTTACTTCCAAGTCACAGCTGAAGGGAAGCCAATTAAGATTCAAAGGACTATCTTTACGGAGTGTTTCTATGCGATAGCAATGGCTGAGCTGTATCGAGCTAGTAATCTTATAAAGTATAAGGTAGGAACGGGGTTAGGTGTATTATCAACAACACTGCGCTTCTTTGCCAAATTGCTTTGGGAAAACAACCATATTAACGAAATTGCAGCAACATTTGATTAAATCTGATAATGTGCTGCAAAAAATTGTCTCACTAATATTGCATCGTGTTTAGTCACCACAAGGGCTTTTTCACGAGAAATATTAACAAACTCAGGAAATCATAAACCATTCTCATTTCAGGAGGAAGCGGTGCGAATGCTGTCCTTGGTAACACACTGGGCACGAATTGATGACACGCAGCTTGGCTGACCCAAGCTGTCAGGCCAGGAGGCGGCAAATCCCCTTGCTGTACCAATGATGTTGTTGTATGTGATCGATGAAGTTTGCCGAGAAGATTAAGAGCTCCGTCAGACGTACATTGAGGACGAGGAGTGGGCTGTGCAGCAAATTCTGAAGCATTTACAGGTAAACTAAACTGATAAATTGATGTTTAGAGCGCTATCGATTGAAAGTAATCCCAACAGTCCCACCAACAAAATGAAATAATTATCTGATAACAGCGTACTTAAGCCACAAATTCAGAACAAACTTAACTCTCTGCTTTGAATTTGATTAAAGCAAGTGGTATGTGCACTATGCAAAAAAATATTCACCAATTCGTGACAACTGCTAATGACGAATTATTATCCAACTACACTTAGACGAGTACAAATATCACGCGGTATTTGTACTCGTCTATTATAGAGTACCGGTTAAACAGGTTTTCTCGCACGCGCAAGCGAAAAATTGGATTGTAGTTACGAAAAAAAGAGTGGCGGAGAATTTGAATCATATTTCCGACGACGAAGAGTCAAAATGGCTGGCAAATATAGATCCAAGTTTATTAGATGAATCGAGCGAAGAAAAACAGCTTGACGACCAGAAAATTTCTTCATTTTATGAAGAAAATAGAAACAGCAACACAACAACACGCCAATTCCGTTCCGCTTTGCATACTTCTGTCACGCACTCCCCGTAAATATCTACGAAATTCGCCCGCTGAAACAACAGTTTGGCGTGTTGGATAATAAATAACTTATTGGACGTTTTGTTGTGTAGTGTCGCTGAGTACTTTTAGTCGTTATTTGTATTTTGACTCGCCCTACGGGCTCGTCAAAATATAGCACAACTCGTAAAAATACTCAGCGATACTACACAACAAAACGTCTAATAAGATATATGTATTCTTTCCTATGGAGTTAAAATGTTGCAACTCATTTACAGAACTCTTCTAACTTTCACTAACATTTTAGGAGACACATGAGAATAAATTCAATTCACTTCTTTGATCCTAGAGAAAGGGTAGAGTGGTATTAGAAAAAGTCACAGAAGAAGGAAAAGAGATATCTGGTGCTGAGGGTCGACTCATCAACCCAGGACACGCCATTGAGGCCGGATGGTTTCTCCTTCAGTACGCTAAACGTACACAGAACGACGAACTGGCTACAATTGCCATCGACAAGTTTATAGTTCAGTCATTTGACACAGGATGGGATGACATGTATGGCGGGATTCTTTACTACTTGGATGCAAGTGGCTACTCGCCGACACAGCTGGAGTGGAATATGAAGCTTTGGTGGCCCCATGCTGAAGCACTAATTGCACTCCTCATGGCTTACAAGAAGACTAAAGAGGAACGCTTCATGGAGAAGTTTGATCTCGTATTCCAGTACACATTCTCACATGTAAATACCAGGCTTACCAATTAACACATTAACTCCAGAAGTTATTAACATGCAACTACATCCAATAACATGCTGGCAATCTCCTCAATATCCTGTTTTCTCTTAGTTTTCAGATTCACAATACGGTGAGTGGTTCGGATATCTCAATCAGAAAGGCGAAGTGACACACACCTTCAAAGGAGGACCGTTTAAAGGTACGTTTGTATAACAAGTTTCCAAGGCGCTACCCGATTGCATTTCATTCTTTTAAAGTCGTTAACAGTCGTAGATAAACGGAAGGGAACTGTTAAATAAGTTTATAAAGGTATGCAGTATGCACTGCTTCACATAGTTGCTTGGTTAACGCAAGTGAACTCACTGTATGCTCATTTATTTTTCACAGGTTGTTTTCATGTTCCTCGTTGCCTGCACATGTGTATCAAGATGCTGAAGGAATTGCTTGCAGAGAAAACACTATCAAATGGTCTATCAAATGGTCTATCAAATGGTCTACGAAATGGCAACGGTGTTCATTAGGTCACAAAACAGAATGAACGCATCAAACTATGGGATAATATAAGAAGCGCTCACGATTAAGTTTTTTTCCTTATTTTTGGTTGTCTATGGTCTAGGAGAAAGTGACACACCTTCAGTTCATTCATTGTAAAAATGAACAATTTCTCAAGTTTCATGTTTGGAGCCATTCATTCAACCTTTATAGTTACTTACTGGTGGTACACACAGGGATTACTACAATTACATTTAATGAACTCTCAACAGAGAAGTCAGTTTTGTAACATTCAAAATCCTCCTCAGTTTAGTAGCAATTGAGATCTCTATTACAACAAAATGAAAAGAACATTTCACAGACAGTATGTAGAACTTAAAACTGCCTGTTCCTGAATAAGTTCTACACCATCTTTGATTCTCCCATTTCCCAAATCCAAAGGAAACCATTAATTATTGTAATCCCTTATTTGACAGAAAAATTACACAGTGTGCTATGGTAAAGAACTTGGTGTATATCATGCTATAGATGTATATTAGCTGAGATTTTTTTTAATAATAAAATAACTATTATTTCAGAACTGTGATCATTATAATTAAAACAATGGTGATTTGAAGGGTTAAACGATACCTAGATTACAAAGGCAATCCTTAAACTCAGCAGTAAACATTGATTTTTACAGAAGAGTTTTGCAGTTCTGGATGTCCATTCACTAAAAACAGAATGTTGTTGTCAAATGGTGTCTTTGCAACACGATTCATCTTTTAGTTTGGGTGTTTGTGTTATATTTTTCAAAAAGCTTAAAGGAAAAAGTACTCACCATAACTATATCGCAAATAGTTTCTAAAACCATATAAGAGCAAAGGACTTGTATATTTTTGAGACAGTAATGTTCACGAGGCTTTAATAAAACTGAAGGCTTGTAGACTAAAACATCTCAACTTCATACGGTCTGATCTTGGAAATGGAAAAATGGTGTTGTTGCTTCTGTTCCTGTTGAAGCTAGGTTCACGCTTTGATAGTTTCAGCATGAATTATCCTCATCAATAAATAACTACCTAGATGACTGAAGGAAACTTCTTGAGATCACCTACTACAAAATCCAATTATTATCCACAACGTGAGGGGAAAGCTCTTCATTCCTCAAACCACATATCCTTGAAAATGAAAACAAAATGAAACAGTGAACTTAAAATTTAAATACCAAATTATATCTATATAGAAGATGATTTATGTGAACCTTTTCTTGTGCATGCAGCCCATTCTTTGTGAAAGGTCAACTAAATAGTTAATTGAATAAAGGCTGATAGTTTCGAAAGAAACTGTTTGGGGCTGCGTCGGTGGGAGTAACGAAATAATTTGGATATATCAACAAAGTTGAAATGGTAAATTGGCCACTGTAATGATTACAAAAGCTGATGTTTCGAGTGGTAGCCCTGCGTCGCATTCGCTCCGACAAAGGGCTAACGCTCGAAACGTCAGCTTTTGTAATTGTTACGGTGGCCAATTTACCATTTCAACTTTGTTGATATATCCTAAATAATTAATTATTTGCAATTATTAGCTCGATTGTATACATATTGCAAGCAGGAACACTTCTTCTTTTAAATGAGTCAAAGGCAAGGTTATTAATTCAAGTTTTCCCAAGCTTCTTATCATAGGTATAACTTGTAAGTTACACAAGACTATTGCTTGTGTACTGTTAATAAAGAAATTTTACATTTGGTATTGTATCTGCCAAAGCCAAGTCATCATTAAAAACCCACTTATTTGAAGCTCAGGTTAGTTTCTTCAGCAATAAATAACTTTTATTCACTGCCATTTTAGTGCTGTTATGCAGCCTTTGCAATATATAGAAAGGAAAGAGGACAGTAATGACAATAAGAAATGTAGGGATTCAGGTGAGGCTCAGAGGTGTTGAAAAATAGTTCAATATTGTAAAATAAAATGAAAAAGCAAAATTGTTCAATAATGTTAAAAAAAGAAAATGAAAAACATCTTACTGGTATAGCAGAGCTTTGATTAGTGAAAAGTGTTTTAACAGTGCTTTCCACTGCCTCCTCTTTGTTAAGCCCTTGGTTCACCTTCTCCATGCATCCTTCCACAAATCTGAAATTCACCATAAGAGTCACTTATACAATTGCATAAAATTAGGAATATGAGGATCAAGTTGAAATAGATGGATCTTAGATAGTTTTCCTGAGGTTTCGAGCTCAGATCTTCTTTTTTATAGTTGCCACTTGGTGACCTACAATCATATAGTGATTGCAGTAGAAATGCACAGTGCTCTGGAAAATTAATTCTTTTTGAGATTCAAGTACCATCTCAAGGCGTAATAGTCAGATGACAGCTACAAATTATCATAAAAAAGAATGATGGAGCACTAGGATAACATGGTTTGCAAATATAAGCAACAATCATGCTACAACTCACAGGTTACCAAATTAGCTACTTTTGCTGCAAATTTTGTTCCCAAAATTCTTTCATCCCTATTGCTGTGACCAAAACAGTTTCAGCTTGGAGCCCTGTTTTTAACTGAAAGTTTTTTTTTTTCAGCAACATCTGTCTCAAGCTGCTTACCTGTCACAATAAGAATGGTGTTCTCCCCACAGGGACAAAGGCTGGTTTGTATTGAATCTCTGGTAAAAAAGCCTGATATCAACAACATATTAATAATGTTACCACTGAGTTTTGTAGAGTTACTGTAAGAGACTCTGTGGGTGTTAGAGTGATGAACTCTGGTTACAGACCTCCAGGTGATAATTCACTTTCATAACTTTCTCTGTCAATATGCTAGTATTAAAATAAATTTCAGATTCACAAAGAAACTTTCTGTTTCTTCATTATGAAGCTACAGAAGTATTATACCTGACTTTCCAACAAGATTTTTTAAGTATATCAGTACCAGTGTTGCCCATTTGAGACAGTAATCAGTAAACTTTGTCTCTGAAAGGACTGCTCTTGACTAGTTTGAAAATTTATTTACCTGTTGCACTTAAAACAAGGAAGAATACTGAATGCATGTCATGATTCCCCCATTCTAAATGACTGAGGGATAATCCCAAAATTTCACACATGCCTACAGCAGAATGAAATTATTGACATTGGATATGGAAAATGTGGGGGCTTTTGATGAAATAGAGGAGTTAGCCTCCTGGTTAGCTCAATGGATAGAGCGCTGGACTGTTGTGTGGGAGGTCGAGGGTTCGAGCCCCGGCCGGACCAACACTCAGGGTCTTAAAATAATTGAGAAGAATTTGCTTTCTTTCTATAACATCAAGAAATGGTTAGATATTCTAGTCTTCTCGGATAGGGACGAATAAATGGAGGTCCGC